TTGATGGAAGAGCATGGGCTAAAGGCCCAACCACTAGAGCTATGGCCAGGAGATTACTTGAAGACTTGACTGCTTCAGAGCTTAGTGGGCCCAATGGGCTTGGTGGGCCTAGGGTGCTTCTCACATGGACCTTACTTGACTAAACACCAAGTTTTATTGCATTTTATTAGTATAGGAAATTACTTTGATTTTGGTCTTGTATTTTGACCATAGACTAGGTTTTATTTTCTTGGGCTTGTATTTGGGCTTCTTAGGCTTTGGGCTTTTGATACCCAATATTAGGCTCATTCTTCTTCTTGTAATTTTTCCTATTCATTGTATTTTCTTGACCATTGTATTTCGGTCATTAGATTAGGGTTTAAGGAGGATTAGTAGTTTAAAGAGATTAGGGTAAATTAGGTTAAATTTAGGATGTATTTAAGTTGCATTTAGGTCACACTTTTGGCACCACCTTGGCTGCACAAGTGTGACACCGAAATGCAACCCTAAATGCATACTAAATTCACCCTAATTACATTAAGCACTCATGGGACCGGTCATACACATGTGTGACAAGATTTGAATTCAAATTCAAATTTGAATTCAAATCTTGGCGCCAACATGGTGACCTCTCATGTGGCGCCAAGTGTCTCCCTGGTTTCGGATGCATATATGTCCCTCCTTTCACCTATTGTACTCACTTTGAATATTGAATGAAATTTGAGAGCCTTTAGTGCCGAGTTTCTCTCCTCAAAGTCTCTAAGAGTTCACCTCAAAACCCTAGGAATTCCTTCTTATTCCTACCCTTTCAAGTGAGCTCTCCCTTGATTCTTGAGCTTGGATGTTTCCATCCAAGGCTTGAGCCTTCATCCATCTGTGTTCCTTCTCCATCCAAGAACAATTCCATTCGGTGATATTTCTTTGAAGAAGATCCGTGCCTAGGAGGAGCTTAGGAGGAGTTCATTCTTCACCTCTCCTACTTCCTTTTATCATGGTGTCACATAATTCATATTAATAATACAATATTTTAAAAAAATTTAAGTAAACTGATAATTTTATTATATAACATCAATCATTATACTTATTAAATATAATATATAATAAATTTTAATAATATCATAAACCTAATATATATATATATATATACATATAATTTATTTCATAATTTTTATTTTTAAATGTTATTTTATTAAATTATTTTAAATTTAATTATGCACTAAAAAATCAAGTGAATGAATGGCAAATTAATAAACTAAAAATAGAGTAACATATAATATAATTAAAATATATTTTAAAATATTATAATGAACGTTATTTAGTGATATTAGATTAAATAAATTATATTATGTATTTTAATACAAGAGGGAACAATAGTGGAATATTCACATTTTTTTAGTAAGAAGTTTATTATAAATTTTAAGTAGCTGCTAATAAAGTTTTTTAAGCTTCAATTTCAAGTCTTGTAGATTGAAAAAAAAAAACAATTTTGGAAAGGATCTACTAAAGTTAGTTAACTTGAGTTTTCTGACAAAAAGATTAGTCATTGACAAATTTGGTAATAAAGTCTCATGTTTGATTCTTATGGATGCAAGATATATATATGATTAGGAAGAGAGATCCCACTAAAGATGACGAATCAAATTCTCTTATATTGATTAGTAATCGAAAAAATTAATGGATATTTCATATCAATATAAAATATAAAGTAATTTATTTTAAGGTTAAAATAGAATTTTTTGTTCCTTATTTTTATTTTTTTTATTCTAATTTGGGCCCTAATTAAGTTTAAAAAGATTTACTTTGCTCACATAGTAAGTATTTCTCTTAGACCAAGTTAGTCCTTTTGATTGTTTATCATACTATAGTGTGGTAAGTTTAGTGACATGTGGCAAACTAAGATGTTATACCGGTTAAAATTAACACATTTAGGGCAAAAATGTGACAAAATGACCGATTTGATAGACACTTTAGATCAAAGTGAAACTTTCCAAATTTAAGAGGCCAAACCAAAAATCTAAAATAAATGAAAAATCAAAATTCATTTTAGCTTTATTTTAATGATGTTAAGTTATATGAAGTAAATTGTATTTTTAATATAAAAAAGGGTTGCGTGATATTCAATGTTCATAATGCTTTTTTATTTTCCATATGATAAAATATATTATTATAATTCTAAAATAAAAATAAGGTAATATATTTTTCTATTTTACAAGTATTAGACAATTTTTTTTATAACAATTAATAATCTCAAAGCAATGATTTTTGAACCCCTCATTTTTTTTAAACACTTAATCAACAATCATTTTCTTTTTTATCTCTCTTTTTATCAACCATACCAACTATGCCTATACTTTTCTGTCTCTCTCCCTCCCTGTACGTGTAATATAGTTCAAAAATATTTTTCCTTAATCAAATTACCTGGATTCGTCAAGATGCCTTTGCATACAAAAATAAAGCTTCGTTTTCCAATAAAGAAAGGTGAAACGACCAAATTAAGCTCCAATAACTTCTAATGTTTGGTTTCCCATTTAGATACTTCAAAATGGATTTAACACATTTTAATGTTCTATATGACAAAACAACTATACCCATAGATTATAGAAAATGTATGATTTCCAAACACACACCTCTTCACGTATGGTATATAATAACCTGGATGTCCCTTTGTAACATATGCTTTCTTCTGACTTTACTGGAGATTAGTCTCTATCAAAATTTTAATTTTACTGCACTAAGATAAAGTTATTATTTTATCAAACTTAAAACTTGAATTCAAGACTTTGAATGTCGAGAACCAACTGCAGTATCAATTGACCATTATTTTATTTCTTTTAATGCAAAAGAATTTTATTTCAAGAAAATCATGGTTCTAAAGCCAAAACAAAACAAATATTTTGTAAGCGTGAAAATTATAGCCTTCATATATTAGAATTAATAATATGCTACATATATTTGGACAAGGTTTCCACATGTGACTGTTGTCTACATTGACGAAGAAAATAATAATGATAATGAGCAACTTCCTAAAACATCAATGACAAATTATTCAATCTCATTGATCTCAAGGATTGTTATCTATTATTAAAAAGGAATGAATTTACCTTGACCCTGTGACCCCCTATAGTCATTGAAATTGAACAAGATTCTTTCTTTGCCAGTAGTGGAACATAGGCTTAGAGAACTCTTCTGCATCATCATAAATCCATAATCTCATCCTTGCACGAGTTATTGCCACATACAGGTTCTTAAGTTCTGAGCACAAAACATTGTGTTTGGAATCATGATCAAAACATCTCCGAAAGTTGGCTTCATATACAGGTGCTTCCTTCCCCAAAAGACCTGTGTGAGATGCATCCAAATTCCAAAATAAAATTTATTAACTATATAAAAGGGACGATTAGTTCAACCCAATGAAAGTGAGAACCAATACAATACTTTCTGGAACTCAGAATGCTAGAAATAAAATCATGTATTTTACATGGTGTAGCTTAACGTTTACCATTATTACATTGTTTATTAAACAGGAAAATTTGAAACAGTATTCCATATAAGGTAATTCACATCCAAACTTCATCTTTGTTGCTTGTATGATCTATGGTCTGGTATTAGTATTAGCCTTCTGATCACAAAGCACATATGAAAGTTTTTATTTTACATATGAAACACAGGTTATGAGTACTGATATTTTTCTAGTCTTAGTTAAAACAACAAAAAATATTCATACAGTGATGGTATGCTAAAATCTGATAGAAGGTACATATCTAGAAGTCGGTACATTATATACATATGATTTCCATTATCACCTTATACTTTTATAAATTAAGGGAAAATAAAAATAGTTTCCAAAGAATTTTATGAAAAAACCAGATACCTTTTCAAAAGAGAAACATGATGTTGAACCTTCCGACATAGTCCTGGACTCAATGTCACAAATAACTGTCTTAAGACTGGTTTTTCAGTCTCAGAAGCAATCTCCTTGGACTCTTCTGGATTCACATGAATTTTGGATCCAAAGACTTCTTCAACAGCCATATGATGCAATTTCTCATTTTGAATCAGCTTGGTAATCAAAACCGTAGTTTTTCCTGTACCACTACGACCAAGTACAAATGTACTTTGAGGGTAGAGAATTATGTTACGTTGTTCATCAGTTACTTCATATGGAAGATCCACTTCTACACCATCTTGACCATAAAGCAAGGATCTTCTTGAGATAGAACAGTACTTCATCAACAACATACACTCCTCAACCTTAGAGTTTTCATCGTCACTTACCTCTTCATTAGCACATGTCTCTCCCTCATTTGGATTATTATGAACACTCTCAAATTTTTGGATCTTAGCTGAAAGTGGCCAATTCAATGGAAACTCTATATTCCTGTTCAAAAACAAAGAAGCCAAAGGCTTCATACCAGTTAAGACTAGAACAGATTAAATATTTTTAAATTAATGCAACTGAAAGCACTCACCCTCCATTGTATTTGTAACTTCCTTTTTCTTTGCACCTAATGATATATTCATTAGTGTATCCTTTGAATACATTGTCAAGGCGCTTAGCCAACTGAGGGATATCCTCTACAGGTAATATGTCCCAAATCTTCAAAACCTGAATATACCTTGAAGTTTTGACTATATCAATTGAACAAATAATATAGAAGCTTTCAACCTTAAATTGCTTCAAAATCTGTGAGGAATTCTCACAAGACAAATCCACTGCAATCTTTTTTGGTCTCCAGCCACTTGAAAGTCTTCCCAGAAGGTTTATAACCTTCTTCTTGATCTCGTTAGACCTTAGTCTTTTGAATGATCTGCGGAATTTGTCATTGAAATGAACCTGCAAATGCGCACATTGGAAGTGATGTCAAGAACAGATCAAGCATGTACAGAGGATAACAAGAACAGACGAAAATATTGATGATTAATTTCAAGTGTACTCTATTTTAATGAGTTATCAAATATCAAACATTAGTTAATAGGGTGAGTTTTTGCAACCTTCAAATATGTATAAGATAATAAGATTATTTATTTTTTATTATAAGAATAAAGAGCAAATGAGTAGCTAACAATTCATAGGAAGTACAGTCCCAAGAAAAGAAAATGTCTACTGAAACAACACCTGTGAAAATTCAGAACTAAATAAAAGAACAAATATTATAATTGATCAGTCCTGGATCCATATACCTTCCACAACGCATTTTTAAAAATATCACTATTTGAATCAAGCAAGTCATCAAATTCGTCTGATTCTTTCCTTGCATCCAATATAGCTTTAGCCATTTGCTCATCTCGGTCCGCATCAAAGAAACAGTTACGTTTCTTAGCATCAAGCACTATAGCCTTCCAAACATTTTCTTTGTGTGTAAGGGCCCTTTCATTCCCCAAAATCCATAGACAATGCCTAGAAATATCAAACCAACAGCAGTTTACCAGTTAATGTGATACTCTAAAACATAAGAATTATAATAGAAAGGTTACAGCATGATATATACCTGGCTCTTGTAAGAGCAACATTAGTCCTCTGTGGAGAAGAAATGAATTCAAGAAACGTTCTGCTATTGGTTCTAACAGTTGATAATATAATTACATCATGCTCCCCTCCCTGAAAACCATCAACCGACTTCACGTTCACTTTGAATCCATCATGGCTTTCATAAAACTGTCCAAGCTTCTTTTCAATTGCAACAATTTGGCCAGCATAGGGAGACACTATACCAATGCTGAGCTTCTGCTTTGAACCCAACCATGCTACAAGGAAAAACCAACTTCATATTAAAATCCAGACATCATGTATTTTAAGCTGCATCTTTCAGTTGGATCCATATGAGTAACTTTAGTTATTACTACCAGAACTAGTAGAATTTCATACACAAAAACTTATATCCAAGTTCAACAATTCAGCATATACCATCTAAAACTTTTTATTCAGTACTGAGCTTCTTTCTAATAAAGAAATGCAGGCCAAATATTTCAGATGTCCATTACAAATTAATGCCAAAATTTAGTATAAATATACAACCTTTGTGCAAATTCTTCAGTATTGTCATTACAACTGCGACCTCAGCCATATTTTTGTAGCTTCTCCCTGCATCATCAAACTGCTCTTTGCCTCCAATTATATTTATAAAAGAATAAGGACCAAACATTGGCCCTGGAAGGTATTGCTTCCCATAGTCACTTCTTTCAACATTAGGTGCATCCTGAATTTTGTTAGAATAGAAATATGAATTTGGAAACGAACTTATCTGTGGATGCATCCTATGTTGCATATCGAGGAGGTACTTAGTGTAACCTAATGAGCTCAACCTCTGAAACAAACTTCTCCCAAAACCAGCTTCATCGGAAATCTTGTACACAAAAAGAATGAGCACTAATGTAAATTAGAAATAGAGGAGGATTGGTGATGAAAACTTCTCAAAAGGAAAAAGAAACAATTAATATATGCTTGATAAAGGCAACATACATTACTTCTAACCATAGGTGGCAGTTGACATTCATCACCAACAAGAATTGCATGACTTATCCCTGGAAGTAAGCTTGGTATTATTGATTCACATTCTTTTAACATTGCCGCTTCATCTATCACCAAGATGTTCAGCGGTTTAATGGCTAGATTGTGCAGCTTATGAGAACCAGAAGCAGTAGAAAATATCAATGATGATGTTTGGAAACAAAACTCTCTGATTTCGTCTTCCTTGCTGGAAGAGATTATCATCATGAATCCATCAAGTGAATCTTTCACAGTCATTAAAGCTATCAAACATTCAGTTCGCTTGTTGTACAACTGCTCAGCAGCACCCCCAAATGACCAAGATTTCATCCATGGTAAATTTTGGAAAGAGAAAAGGTTTTCCAAATCTTCAGAAGCCAAAATATTTTGAAACAACAGGTCTTGAAATGATTCAAGTGCTTCATTCAAGCACACTAAGTTCTGATAGTTATTTTTCAACAACAGACGTTGACTCATGGTTACATGAGTACACAAGATAGAAATACATGATTCTAATTCCAATGCTGCAGAACCAAACCCTTCTCTCAGAAACACTAGAAATGATTTTGGCTTTGTCTTGTCCCTTTTTTTCAACTCACTCTGAACATACTCATCATATTTGGAAACACAATTTTCTAGAAGATCAATCATGGACTCAAGACAAGAACTGAATCCAGTATAATGAGAATAGCATTTTGTGAGTTGTTGCACACGATGATCCAAATATATATCTTCAATATCATCTCCTATTCTTAACCTCTCATTGTTCCCAAACAATAGCAAATCTCCCAATGAACATAACAAATCACCATATTCTTTACTATGAGCCTCTTTCATTATATTTACTACTCGTGTCGCCACTTCTTTGATGGCAACATTTGTTGGGGCACATACAAGGACTCTATATTTCATTTTCATTAGAGCAAAAAGTAGTGTGGCCAAAGTTCTTGTCTTTCCTGTGCCTGGTGGTCCCCATATGAGCTTCACAACAGAGTTGTGATTGCAATTGAGGCCAGAAAGACATGCAGAAATTGCCTTTTTTTGGGATTCGTTAAGGTCTGATAATAACCTTTGATATGAACAGTCATATCTTAAATTATCAGCCAGAGAGCTACAACTACAGCATTCCTCAACCTGTTTTCCAGTATACATTCATCAGTTATAGCACTAGTTTCAATTTCAAAATCAATTGTCTTAAAAAATAACATAGAACACAATTTCCATAAATGTATTAGAATTTGAAAATCATTGATCTGGTTCGTGTGGTCAGTCTTTTGACTGAATGGCACAAAAAAATAATAGCAGTAATAAAGAATAGTGTGTCAGTGTTGAATTCTATAACAATAGAATAACAATTCTTTCAAATAAACAATTTTCTGATTTCTGCATTTCTAAGAAACGATTCTTATTTATTTTTTAAAAACTTAATTTAAAACGGTTTTGCCTTTTAAGTTTAAACAAACTGGTTAAATATGCATTTAACAAACCATGAATGTATTTTAGCACCAACTTAGATTTCAATTAAACAGTGAATAAAAGTTTAAGATGATGCATTAAAAACATAATACCATGATCATAAAATTAAGATTTAAAATCTTTTTGTCCTTAAAAACTGTAAGTCTGTATCCTCACAAAAAGTACACTTACCCATAAAAGAACAAGGTTTAATTACCTTTTCGTCTATATAAATTTATAAAATTTATCTTTTTAATTATTAAAAAGGTTTCATTGTAATTAATACATTTTTTTCCCTTTTAATCCTGATTTTTTATTTCTATGAAGACTTCTTATTAAAGTTTATAAAACTATAAGAATTAAATAGAAACAAAAATGGTATATAGACTAACATAGAATATTTTTAATAAGAAATAAAGATAAAGTTCATCAAACTATATATATATTAAAAGGTTTTCTTTTAACAGCTAAAAATATGTATTAGATTACAGGCATAAAAGGTACCCAAACCCATTTACACAAGAGAACATACATATTAAAAGGTAATTAAGCTAAAAAAATTAAGACTAAAATAAATAAAATTTACACTTTTAGCTATACGAACAAATTCAAACTTAAAATTAACTTTCTTATTACCTCATCCTTCTTGCATAAGATCTGCGTTAGTAGCTTCAAATTACCGGGTATATGAAGTGCACCCCATATTCTTCTATTAGGGTTTACATTTGTCAAGAAAATGAGAAATAGAGTTTTATTCCTCAACTCTTGCAAGTCAATGTCTTTTGATGCCTTAACTTTTAAGCAAACAGACATGCTACCGTCTTCATCTTCTTTTGTCCATACAGTGGACACAAAACTCCAAAATCTTCTATTCCTTTGCAAGTCTTTTACAGCTTCTGGTTTATAATCAGCCAATATTAAAACATCACCAGGTAATGTTTTGTATGGTTCTCCATTATGAGCAAACCTGTTTTTCCATGAATCAATTTTCAAGTTATAAAGTTTATTTTCATATGGTTTGGCCTCCTTTATACCTCTCACCTCTGCATAAGGTGCTTGCTGTATGATATCCATACTTGAGCACAGTTGTGCTCGAGTTTCCTCTAATAAAGGATACATATAAGATCCACGGTAATGATCAATGGACAGAAACGATAGTTCAATCTTCATAATCTGAAAATCAAGGGTCAACAAACTCAAGTCATAAGTAAAACATTAATAGCATGTTTAGATATAAATTAGAAACATTTTTATAGAAAAAAAAATACTTTTCAGTAGAGATATTCTCAAAATTGCTTTTAAACTTTATCTAAACAAGCTCAAAATTTTAGGACATGATCTTATGAATATTATGAACATGACATGTGTCAAAATAAGCATTGAAATAGTTAACATAAGTTAAAAATGTAGATAGAACAAAAATTTCAATGATGTTAATTTAACATTAGATAAAATGAAAGGAATAGTGTCACTACTAACCTTGTTCTTGTATAGATCTTCATTTAAAATGTCTTCAATGGACCAAGAGAAAATCAAATCCATGAAGCCATAATCATCATACTTGGCCTTATTCTTATTTGAAGATTGACCTTGCATCTTCTTGTTACTAATTCAGTTTGCTTGGCAGAAAAAAATCACAAAACCATGTCCATGCAATGCAGATATAGCTACGTGGTCAGAAACCTAAAGAGACCAAGACACTGAATTTTTAACTGCATTGATCACTTGTAAACAAAGTAGTAGGAAATGAAGCTGCTAGAGGAATTGTGAAACAAATACTTGTTTTTCGAGGGGTAGCCTCTGGCATAAAACCAGAACAAGAACAACGTACGTCTTTTCGTTTTCTAAACTCTTCTTGGTTATGCTCCTTTTAACTCAGAATGTCTCTATATATTTCCTCTTGACTCTTTGTATACTCGTATACTACCATTTCTTATTCCATAGAGAGAATTTTGTGGGAAGGCTCTTTAGCTTCCTTAACTTTTTTTTATTATTATTTTATTTTGACAAGAACTTCCTAAACTTTTATGCGTGTTGGAAAAGGATATTTCAGTTCATATAAATGGATGGTATCAGGGTTCAGGGTAATGAAAAGAAGCTTCTTAGTAAAACGGACTCCTTCTCCCTAAATTACACTTAATGAAAAGAACTCCACCCAATAGAATATACTTTTAAACGATGAACCTCCACAAAGAAAATACTATTTAAATAGATAAGCAATAAAAAAATATGAAGACTACCAATGAATTAAATTGAACCTTGTTGTCAATGAGATAAATTATTGAGAGTGAATACTTGTCCTTCCAAATATTCCATAATTTTTCAAAGTCATCCTCCTAGTAAATATAAGTAATATAATGAAAAATAGATGATAATAAAGTTTCATAATAAGTACAATATTATTTTGTTATATATATATATATTTTAATGTAGAAACAAAGTTAGAATCCTTGTCCATAGTAAGTTAAATACACTTTAAAATAAAGAGAAAATTCTCATCACCTCTTTTAGTGTCTATTTAAATGATAGTCATCTTCTGTAGTCTTAAAAATTACTTAAAATAAGGTCATTAGTTAAAACAAAAGAAAGAGGAAAAACAAAAGTTAATTCATATTTTTTCAACAATACACATGTCTATCTTTCATTTTTGAATTATTTAATGTTACAATTACGTATAATGTTCTGTTTTCTTTATGAAAATTTTTGTTATTTTTTAATTTTAAAAATAATAATTTCTTAATTCATTTTTTGAAATTATTCCTTAAAGTTGATATATTTTTAAATCACAATAAGCATAATATTTATAATATAATTTAGGAGTTAAAATTAAATAAAATATCAAATTTTATTTAATTGTTGACACTTGTATTAATAAATTACTCTCTCTTAATAATGCATAAATGATATTCTGTGTTAATAATTTGTTCTTATCGAAAGTTGTTAACACAAATTATTTTATATTTTCGTTCTTTGGCCAAAGACTAGATTCATTTCTAGTGTAGAGAGTTATACTTTTTAATTATAAAAAAACTATTCATATATATATATATATAAAGTAATTATTTAAAGTGATAATAAACTAGGATTTTTTGTGTAACAGTAAATAAGCATCATTATAAGGAGGACTAGATAAGTTGAAAATCAGAGGAAAGTTGGTATTATTAATGTAAAATAATCAATAATTATAAATTTAAATTAACATTATCAACTTCCCAAATTTAATTTAGAACTCAAGTCAAAGGTAACTTGACACTAAAAGTCACTTAATCAGCAAAAGCAGTACAACTAAGAAATGAGTCTTCTCATTCACATCGGAATATGTCATTCATGCTTGCCTTCCTTACAAAACAATTTCAAGAGAAGATGAATCTTCCTACGTACTAACTCCTCTGCTATAGTGCTCGCGTTATCAACTTGATACAATGGAATGGAGATATATATCGGGACATAGATCATGTAGTTGATAGAAAACTAGAGTCCCCTTTCATGGAGTGTTGTTCTCTTTCAATTTAATGAATTAATTAAAATATTTTTCCTTCATAAATTATGTCTTGTTTGTTAAAAGGCATATAGAATGTTTTTGTTGGCTATGTTGTAGTCTTTCTATCCTAATAGCTTGTACTTTTTATCCCTTGCTACGTTAGTTAACATTGTTAACTGAAACAGATAAATAAACTTCAAGACATGGCAAGTGCCAACAGTTTATATAGAGGTAAATGCATTGTCACTATACACACAACCATGTGCCAAATATAAAGTAAGAGCTTGGTTCAAAATAACTGGAAGCTCACCACAAGCATAATTACAATCTATGCAGTAGCCATAATTATAATTAAGAAAAGGATTCCTCCTCCCAACATCAACTTCATTTGGAGACTTTGCAGTTGCGTCAGGTATATTGTTAAATTAAATAAGTAGTTGCTTTTGGTATATTATTTTTTTTCTCTTGTATTCTACCGGTTAAAAAGAGTTAATAAGTTAATAAGTCGACGTTATATTTAAAGAAATAACGTCAGCTTTTCTAATACTAACTTAATTTAAATTAATGTCAGAAAAGTCGAAGTTATATTTAAAGAAATAATGTCGATTTTTCCGACACTAAACTCAATTTAAGTTTAGCAGAAAAGTCGACGTTATTTCTTTAGATATTTTCCGTCACTAAACTCAATTTAAGTTTAGCATCGAAAAAGTCGATACTTTATATACGCATAATATATTGTAGTGCACCTGGTTATCAAGTTAACTTAATACATCAAGGGTCCAGGATTGAGTCTCGACCATGCTAAAAAAATATGAACAAGTAAAAAGTAGGTTGAAAAAAGAAGATCAGGAAAAAATAAAATAAATTTTGTGTCAACATAGTGTCGACTTAACTGACAATAAAAATATTAAAAAAAATTATTAAGTTAGTATTAATATAGTATCGGCTTAACCAACAATAAAAAAATTAAAATAAATAAAATTATTAAATTAGTGTTGACTTAGCTGACACAAAAAATTTGTATCAATTTATTTAGAATCGACTAAAAACCAGCGAATAATTGACAATAAATATTATATTATATCAATTTTTATTATTTAGAGTCGACTTTTACCGACTTTAAAATCAAGCATTCTTATAGTGTAAAATATTCTTAAAAAGAATATTTTTTTTTTGTCATTTCATACAAAATTGTGACAGAATGACCATATTTTAAATATAAAAAAATATATTCTTAGAAAATTATGACAATCAAAGATGTCATTGGTAGTTATAAGTTTCATTATTTACGTACTAACATATTTTTCTTATGTAAATTAAGATATTTTTAATATATATATATAATAACAATTGTGGTGATGATTCATTGTTACTTGCCATTTTATTTCATGTGAGTGATGTTAGTGATTGTCGTTCATGTAAATAATGGTAGTTATTAGAAGTATCCTTATTTATAATAAAAAATATCATTATTTACACATTTTTTTTTGTAGTAGAACTTATTAAGTTTATCACTTACAGTAAAATAAATTTATCAACAACATTAAAATAAGTTCATAATATACTTGCAAATAAGTCTATAACAATAATATAATAAGTATGCAATACAATCATAAATAAATCTTAATAATCAGCTGAACACAAATAAAATATCATAATTCAATGTTAATAGAAAAAAGTTAAGGAAATTGATTCAACTCAATGGATCAATCAAACTCATTTGAATATTTTATTTGCTTGATTGGTGTGTTGTGTTATTTGAGTTAAAGGGTTAATTAAAAAATGTAAATCCAACCCAACCTATTTAAGTGAGTTGTACGGGTCAATCCATTGGTTGAACTCATTTTGACATATTTCTTTAAGTCATTCTTATTAGTATTATGAATATTTTAAAGTATTATATTTCTATAATTACATAAAATAAATGATCAATACCTTTTATTTATGGATATTTCCAACAAATGGTAAAAATATAGGAATATTCCAACTTGTGTACAATAATTACTAAATGATTTTAATATTTTTTTCATGTGTTTTTGATGTAGTTACTTGTTGGAATTAACAATTTTTTTCTTGTATATGTTAGCAAATGATTCTTCAAGGTAATTAGGTAACCATTGTATTTCTCAAACAAATACAATTACCCCACATACTTATCACGTTTTTCATATAGTTACTTTTGTTAGTTTTGTCCAAAAAAAAAAATTCTCAGAATATTGTCAATGTCTTAGTATTTTTTCATCATTTGATTCTGAATCATTAATATAAAATCAATTAAATTTCTTTATTCCATATTTTCGTCACTAGAGTGCCAAAATAATTCAACATCTACAAGTTACAACCAAATAAATTGAAATCAATTATCTTGTGTGCATATTTGATTGTATTAATGGCATTGTTATACATTCAAGATAGTATTTTTATTTATAATTTAATTTCTTTTATATAAAAACAACCTCATAATAATATTTTTTTAGTTTCCTATCATTTCTCTTAAATCAAATAGCCTAAATTTCACAATATTTTCTATATTTTTTTTTCATTTTTATTCACGCAGTTTATTTCCTACCCACCAAAGGAACTTAATGATTATAATTTCATGTAAAATCACAAAGGACTTATGCTGAACATGGATGTACTTATTCTCTATTTCTGCGTAAAACTATTTGATGTTTAGAAACCGAGTAATGTTTGATGATACAAGGTATTTATATGGTATCACTTTTCTTTTATTCATTAAAAAACCAATAAGAGAATTATTCGCCTGATTTTGTGTGTAAACCGTTAACAATGTATAACGTTGCTTTAAAAATTAACATAAAGCGTGTTATGAAAAGATAAAATCACGTGTTATATGTAGAATTTTGATGTAAAATGTTACATTTGGTAAACTTCTAACTACAAGACATGATATAAAAAGATAACAATGTTGTGTAGTTATGTTTGGCCAACTAAATGAGGGTATCTACCCTAAATTTGGGAAAAACTTTAATATGAAACTAGCCTCATAAATAACCAAAGGAATGTTGTTTAATGGACAACCATAATTATTGTCCTACTTTTTCTCTTGTTTGTGTTAATCAAGACACAACTAGTTTCAAATATCTCAATTCCATTAACCTCTTGAACCTGGGATATTTCGAATACTAGTCGAAGAAGATAAGTATTATCTTGGTTTCCCATAGTTCAAACATTTCATGGAATGAAAATTCCCACCCTCTTCAATAAGGGCATATACATGTTGAGTAGGTTCAATTAACAAACATCTTTGTTGAAGCCCCTTATACCAAGGTCAAGCTCAACTCTTAACCATGGAACGAAAGGAGGTAAGCTTGTATATTCATTGGAGGGATGGGTGGGTGGGGAGGCTAGAACTTTATTTAAAATATAAATTGCATATTCATATTTTTTGTGAGATATTAGAAATTACTTAATGTTGCAACAATAAATGGTTTGTGAAACAAATAAATGTACAAAACTTATGGCAATGTGAAAATTTTTATTTGGAAATTAAAATGCAACGTATGATCTCTTTTTAGGTGGAAACCTTCATATATAGATCTTGATCAATAGATATATTGTTACTATCAAGAATCATCATTTATGTTAGAAAGTACAAGTCTTGTAGCCGTAGATTATGGACAAAATGGAATAAAAAAAAGGACATTGATGTTGTGTTTAGTCATGGCAAGAAAATAGGATTAAATATTTAATTTGGGTTTTGTGTTACGAAGACCTTTTTGTTCTCATGCTATTATCTTTTTTTACTTATTATTAAAACTTTCACGTTATATTGAAAAAAGGAAGTGCATGTTTCATTTGTTGAAACATATATTTATCATATGTATACATGCCAAATAAAATAGATAGATAAAGTTTTTCTACATTTTTAATCTACTCACCGTAGTCATTTGATATTTGATATCATTTGTATTTTTTTCACGACATCATATGATATATCTCAATTCATAAATATTAGTAGTAATTTTAATTTCACTAAAAAAATTCATACGATAACAGTTTGACATATATTTAACTTTAGTTGGTATAATATTTTTATTTCATGACAATTAAAATACTAATATAAATATTGTAATGCATTGTACTATCAATGTAGATTTATAATGTTAATATAGTAGGATTTTAATTTCTATTCGAAAAATCTATACCGATAAAATTCTAATACCTTTCATTTTTTTATTTTTTTTGTAAATATGAGCGATTTAGTGAGTGATAATATGAGTTAAAATCATATTTATTTGCAATTTAATAATCTAATTTAAAAATCTTCATTTTATTTACATGATTAGTGATATTTTACATACAATATGATGCCACTTTATATCAAATTATCATACTTATCATTTTATGGTTCTATATCATCATACAATTTTTAACTGTTGATAAATACATGAAATTCTATATATCTTATCTCGTAATCTTTTCTTGTTTATTATTGAATGTCGATCTAACCAAACTTTCTCTCCATGCAGCAAGGTTCCACCTCAATGTCATCTTACCATAATGTTTTCAATTAAATGTTATAGATGATATACAAATTTATATATATATATTCCATTTAAACATGAAAACGAATTTTAAAATAGAAAATGAATCGCATTTGAATTTCAAATTATATAAACAAACTTCCGACATTGATTAAGGATTAAATTTTATTACCTTGGACTAGTATTGGTTGCTGTGCATTGATTAAGGGGGTATTAACCAATACAAGGCCAAGATGATTGGATGAACAATATTATATATTGGAGTTTAATTGAAACCTTAAACATGTCTTGGTTAATGTGCATTGATCAAGGGGGTATTAACCAATACAAGTTAAAGGGGTTCAACTTAAGTCTCTCCCATCACTATCTATTCTTTATGCACTTGCATTTAGAAAATTATTTTATATATAATTTTATTTTTCAATGTTTGCAGAAAAAACCTATCAAGATGTCTGTGCCTCAATTTGGAGGGTGGGAACATAAGCCCACAGGAGTGCCTACTGATTATTCCATGGTGTTCAACCAAGCTCGTGCAAATAAAAAAACTCAAAAGAATGATTTGACTGAAGTCAAACGTCTAAGCCTTGGGAATGAAAGAGATGCCATGAATCCCAATCATCGACGTGGACATGGTCATAATCATGGACCTGGACATGGACATGGACATGGACATGGACATGGACATGGCCCAGGTCATAGTCGTGATGAAGATGATCTCCCAGTCGTGGTAAGATCTTAATCTTAGTTACTATAAAAGTTCCATAATCATTTACGTTTATTATCACTATGTGAATTTTTCTTCTTGAGATTTTGACTTTCCTAACGAAAACTATCTTTGAGCAACTACTACACCTAGTTTTGGTCCATACCCCCTTAATCAATGCACATGGATCAATAGTAGGTGCAGCGTTGTCAAAGGAAACAATGAAAAATAACTTGATGAACTTGTTATTAATTAATTTATTTTTTTGTTTTCTTTGTTACTATGAATGATTATGTTTTCCTTCTTAATGAGACGTGGACGTGTTCTCAAATATTATCAGCTTTGGGCTACGCCACCTTCAACATTTATAACTATATAACATCGGATGAAATATAGATTTGGTCCTTAAAATTGATACCATCAATTAAATTGATTGTGTAGATATTTATAAGCAAATTACAAGTTAATTTATATTGAGATCAAATATATAGTCTACAAAAAAAAAAACAAAAAGACTTGCCCTTCCAGTGATTCATGTCTGCATCTGAAATTAAATACCATCCCCATTGATTTAATCCTTCATCTCATCTAATCAACCAAGGCATAGCCAGTCAGAGTTGCTGTTGTAGCACAAGTTTTAAGTCAGTCTTCCCACTCATCATTTATTTCACATGTTTATAGCTTCCTCACCCCTTTTTCATAAAAGAAATCCCATTGCCAGAACTAGTTCCTGCCACTGTTATGTAGTTTTTGTATCCTTCAACCCCTGATCTGAATGCATTTTCCTGGATTGCTAGCCCATTGTGATAAGGAATAATGAAATGATTTCTACAATGTATGCAACCATGACCATGCAGAGAATAGAACATCTTTAATGACCTTGTCTTGATCGAAATTTCCGCCTTCAAATACACAAGAGTTTCTATGTTTCTATAGGCACCAAGTTGTAGCACACCATATTAGCTGCCAGTTTTCCTCCTCTATTTTTGACTGAAGTATTGTCGATAAGAAACTAAAGTGATGTTCTATCTCTTGTGGTAGAGGTGAGGGACAATTTATTCACCTTAGCCATTGTTTCCAGATTATATCCACATGTGAACAAGTGTATAAAATGTGAGAAGTGGATTCTGTCTCCACTTTGCAAAATGCACAAACCAACTGGTGTGGTTCCAGTGCAACATTCCTTTTTAACAAGTTTTCTACTGGTGGAATTCCCCTTTGTGGTAGCCTCCATACAAAAGTATGAACCTTAGGTAGAACCAAAATATTCCAAATTTGCTTAAACCTTTTATCCACTTCAATCCCAAGCCTTCTTCATAGTATTGTCTTGTATGTTGATTTAACCGAAAATATCCCAAAAGACTCAGGTAGCCATATCCATATATTTGGTTGGTCTTTATGAAAGGTGGTATTCCTCAAAACTTGTTGCAACGACTGTTCCTTACTCAGCTTCCATTCAAACCAGTTCTTGCACCATCTAAATTGCCACACCCAATCTTCCATCTTGTATCCCATATCAACAATTAACTCTTGTTTTTGCTCTAAATTTATAAAAAGTCTAGGATAAGTATTTGCTAAACATTTTGTCCCCATCCAACTGTCTAGCCAAAATCTAACTTGTGTACCTTTCCCAACCTTCCAACTTACCAATTTATCGAATCATCGCTCCTCATTCTCACTTCCACACACCTTTAGAAGATCACACCACTAAATATAGTCTTTATTAGTGGCATTTTCTAAATAGAGATTATAACATCTTCCATATCTTGCTTTTAGCACTCTCCCCCATAAGGAATGTGGCTGGTGGAAGAGATTCCAGCTCCATTTTGCTAGAAGGGCTTTACACTAATATTTTTTTTATCCCCAAACCGCCAAGCTCTTTAAGGTGAGTGACCTTATCCTACCTTACCCTCGGTATCTTTTGTTGACCCTCCTTGCTTCCCCATAGGGATCTCCTTTTCATTGTCTTTATTTGTTTCCCTTCAAACTTTGGCATTTTGAAGAAAGATAGATAAAAGAGAGGTAATGACACTAGAATTGAGTTAATTAAACACACCCTCCCAGCCATAGATAGATATTTTCTTTTCCATGGGATAATTTCTTCTTGATTTTGCTTTAAGATAGGTTGCCACATATCCATTTTCCTACTATTCGCTCCGATGGGTAAGCCTAAATATATGAAAGGTAGTTGTAATATTCTGTAATATTTTGCGGTTCAAGAGATATACAAAAGCTCTCCACTGAATTCCTCTCCACCCCCACAACCCAAAATCTACTTTTACTGAAGTTTACTTTTAATCCTTAAACAACCTCAAAACACCTTAGAAGGCTATTGATTGCAACTACATTACTAAGCTAGCCTCACCCAAAAACATAGTGTCATTCGCATATTGTACTATGCTAATATCTACTAATTCAGTTCCCACCTTCAAACCGCAAAACAAATTCTTATTAATTTCCTCCCTCATCATACCTATTAGACCCATTGCCACCATGTTGAAAAGAAATGGTGCTAGTAGATCACCTTGTCTTAGATCCCTTTGTAATTTAAACTCTTGAGTTGGGCTTTCATTTACAAAATCTGAAACATGAGCTATCTTTAAGTATTCTCCAATCTATTCTATCCATCTGTTACTAAAACTCAATCTTTGGAGTATATAAAGGAGATACTTCCAACTAACCAAGTCATATGCCTTTTCATAATCCACCTTAAAGAAAATGTTGCCTTTCTTCTTCTTTTGGCTTCATCTATGCCTTCGTTAACAACTAAAACACTATGTAGTAGGTTCCTCCCTTCTAGAAATGCACTTTGTCTATCATCAATGACACTAGGAAAAACCTTTTTGGTTCTGTTGGCCCAAATCTTATACAATATTTTATACATGCAACCCACCAATGAGATAGGTCTATAATTATCTAGATATTGTGGATTATCCTTCTTTGGAATAAGGGTAATGAATGCAAAATTTGTACCCCTGGGTAGCTTTCCATTGACTTGGAATTCCTTGACGAAACGCATTATGTCCCCTTTCATAGTAGCCCAAAACTCCTTTATGAATTTGAAATTAAACCTATCTGGTCCAGGGCTCTTGGAGCTAGCTACCACAATCCCACACAGCTTGTTTAATTTCCTCTTCCTCAAAATCAGCATTAAGTATATAATTTTGTGTGTTAGAAACTTGATGTAACGAGCATAAGGCTAAGGAGGGGAACCATCCCTCAAAAGCCGGCCCAAGAGGTTGGAGAACCTCCCGCCTTATAAGGCTTCCCTGGTAAGGAGACCTCCCCGATGTGGGACTAGTTACATTACCACCCCCTTCGAAAGTCAGCGTCCTCGATGGCTGCACTCCACGGTACTTTACTCACCAGTACTTCACTCGGCCTTTTGCCGGTCAGGACCCTCCGTGGTCAGAACCCTCCGTGGGTAGCCCTTCTCGAGTTGGTTGATTCTCAATGAAAGTATCATTGTAACGAGCATAAGGCTAAGGAGGGGAACCATCCCTCAAAAGCCGGCCCAAAAGGTTGAAGAACCTCCCGCCTTATAAGGCCTCCCTAGTAAGGAGACCTCCCCGATGTGGGACTTGTTACACTTGATTAAATTGTACTCCATCCAAAGTGGGTCTATCATCATTTAGCTCACGAAATCTGTCTTGAAAATACTCTTTTACAAAAGATTTTACTTCCTTTGGCTCATCTACCCATGAACCATCAATTAATAGACCTTTCAGCTCATTTTTCTTTCTTCTCCTATTTACTATGAAATGAAAGAATTTTGTATTAAGATCCCCTTCCTTTATCCATCTAACTCTGGATTTTTGTGCTAGTATTGATTCATTTTGTGTAACCAACTTCCAAAATTCCTACTGCAAATGTCTCCTCCTCTGTACTTCTTCCTCTATCAACCCTAGAATCTCTTCCTTTTTTATCTATCTCATTCATTTCGAATCTTGTTTTGCTTTGCTTGTTGATTTCCATACTTTGTCTAATTCCACTCTTTTAATCTACTTTTGGATAGTTTCAGCTTTTGAGTTGGCGGTATTGATAAATTTGATTATTGACATTACCAATAAAAGTATTTAGGTTTTAATATGTTTAGTTCTAGTAAATAAGGGAGTTTTGATTTTAGTTTTTGTAATTTTTTTATTTTTTTTTTATCTTTTTAATATTTTTTAATATAAAATAAGTAAAATTTAATTTTTGGTTCTTTTAAAATATTTTTTTCTTTGATTTTCACTATTCTAAAATTTAAAATCACTTTTTTTTATACTTAACAATAATTTTAAGGTATATAAATAATAATTATTTTAAAAGTTTATAAATTCGTTTAGAGGTATTAAACATTTAAATGTTATCACTAACAGCTGTAGGTAACATCAGAAAAGATCACTTAATCTTTTTATGAATAAACAAGTTGTTAAAAATGATTATATTATAATAAAGACTAAAAATAATAATTCTAAATTTAAAAAAAATGAAAACAAAAAATAAATTTACAATAACTAAAATAAAAATTTATTCATTTTATAAGGACTAAAAATATATTTAAATTAAACATTTAATACCCTTTACCAATTGTAAGTCAATTTTCTTTTATGTAAGTCAATTCAGTCTCAAACATTAGATTGTGTCAGAAATTAATTTAATAGATAGTTGTCAATTAATAATTTTTTTTTCTAAGAGACATAATGTCGATTTCATTGATTTAGTTGACTAATAATTCTCAAAGTGGAAGAGTAAATTTGTTTTTCCTTAATTTTGATTTTATGATCCTTTTATTTAAATAATTTTTAAATTTGGTTCCATTTTTTTTTTAAATTTTATCACCCAATATTTTAATTATTTAATTTTAGTTCATCCCTTAATTTGAAATTTAGTATTTAATAGAAATGTTGATATGATAGTCTAATTAAATATTGACATAGTGGTGTAATAGTGCTGTAATTAAAATATCCGTTAAATATTAAATGTCAAATTAATAAGTAGATCAAAATTAAAACTAAATTAGTGAAATATTAAATTTGTGTAAAAATATGGAGGGACTAAAATTGAGATTTTAAAATAGTAAATATCAAAAGTGGAATTAAGCCATTATATATATATATATATATATATATTATATAATTTTAGGAAATAAATAAATGGTAATGTTAATTTTGAAGGCCATATTGACTATCAATTGTTTAAATTAGGGACCAAATTTACTTTTTTTACTAATTACTATAATTTATCACCAATTTGATGAGTATGTTGGTTTGTGTAATTGAATGAATTTTCTTTTATTGATTTCACATTTAGAAAAGAGAGAAAGTGAGTGGGGGTGGGGGGGTGGTGGAAGACGATGAGACAACATGAGAGATTGAAGACACTACTACAAAATCAGTGCAAAAATGTACTAACTCAAATGTTGTTTATGATTTTACAGAGGAGAAGCAAGGTTATGAATTACATGGGTTGCTTTAAGCCTTGATATCATTTTCCAATCATATATACATGGTGTGTGTTATTAAATATACTAAAGATCCATCACATGCAAACTATATATACAAACATGAGACAATTCAATAGAAACTTGACCAGAAGCTTCTATAATCTTTGAGTTCCCTGTACATGTTTTGCTACATTATTATCGAAGCTTGTGTCTCCTTTATTTCTATTGTTTCAAGCAAAGTCAAATGAATGTACTACATTAATCATTGCAAAGCACTTTTATGTAGCCCATATGCACAGAACTCATATTTCATCAATATGTATTTTTGGGTTCTCTCGTATTAATCTAAGGGGAGCACCTATATCAAGCATGTATACTAAAAATATTTCAATCATTGCATCAGTGCAAAAGATAGAATGAATTATGCGTTGTCAAGTGAAAATCATGACCAATTTTCACTTATTATTCAAATACATTGTTCTAACCTTTCACTTAATTTCCTTAAGACATGCTAATTTTAAAAACATACCATTTCAACCGGACATGATCAAATAAGAGAGATATAAGCATTGTGATTAAAAGAATTTCCTTTTTTCTTTTAAGTTAATCTTATATGAAAAGAGATCTATTTATATAAGAGTAAGTTTACCTAAATTTATTTCAAGAGTAAGTCTACTTATATTTATTTTATTCAATAATTAATATTTTATATCGAATTTCAACAAATTAACTATTAAACTAAAAATTCTTAATCCATAGATTAATCTTACAAAATTTTTTAAAATTTAAAAATTATTTAATAGTTTATTTCATTAATTCAAATCAACATATAAAATATTTTTATAATTATCCGTTAATTTAAATTAATGAAACGTATAGAGTATCAAATATTTTTCAATTTCTTTAAAGAATTTGTAAAATTGATCTATATATTAAGAACTTTTAATTTAACGGTTAAATTAATAAAATTTAATGTAAATATGAATTATTGAATAAAATAAACCTAGATAAACTTACTCTTGAAGTAAGTAGATCCATTTTCATCTTACATACTTTTTAAGTCTATATAACAATCAATTTTGATAGAAATTACCTAATTTTGATATAACGTTTGACATCGGGAGATTACTTAAAAACAACATAACATTAGATACATAAATAACTTATTTATAACCCAGTAAGTGTATATAACGCTGAATTTTATTTAGGCAATAATTTCATTCAATTTAGTGTTTTAATATATAACCTCAATATTTGCACTTTATGACTTTAAATGTCCTACCCGGGTAAATGTGAAACAAAATATGAGATTTTTCTTGTTCAATGGCAATACAGTACTTTGCACTGGCTATTGTTCTATGAGGAAATGTATTAGTGCACATTTCAATCCAAATCAATGATGTCCAACACTTTTACTTTTTATTATCAACACAATAAAATCTTTTTATTTGAAATGTCTCCATTCTTTAAACTTCATCTACATTGGCCTACAATTTTATCATCTTGGACTCGGCTAGTTCGCAGTTTTGTTTTCTTGGGTAGCCTTCATTGTTCGTAACCTGATGTTAAATAGTCTGGTTGGATATGATCAAGAATAAAAATGGTTTCAATATTCATTTAAGTTTGAAAATAATTTATTTTTATCCTTCAAATTTAAATTTTATTTTTATAATCCCAATAGTTTGAAAATAGTTTGTTTTAATCAATTGGAACAACCAGTAATATCAATGATAATGATAGATTGAATCATTTGTCTAACATTAATTGACTTTAATATGATATTTTCACTAACAAGAATAATAATAGATGAATTTTGTGTAATCGAGTTGAGTAATATGAGTTATTTCTTTTAGTACACTACTAGAATTTCTCTTATTACATGCGACTTTTTTTGCGAATTTTTATGAAAAATTCGCAGGAAACGTTGTTCTTACAAATTTTTCTGCGAAATTTTATCTGTAGGTAATACCTTTGTGGATAATATATTTTTGCTAATTTTAAAATTCGCGGGAAATTTTCTTTCGAAATTTCTTGCGAAAAAAATTTGCAGGAAAGTTTCCTGCAAAAAAAAATTTGCAGGAAAGTTTCCTACAAATTTTTTTGCAAGAAATTCTGTAGGAGTATTTTTTACAAAAAAAAAGATTAAAGAAATTACTATAAATTCTATCAATAATTCTTCAACTTTCAAATGCTCACAATGAATTCATCCGAAGCATTTGTTTCCATGTCTCCAACATGTGATACATAATCTTTTAAATTCTAATGTTGTAGATTATAAGTCTAACACTTAACTATACAAATCAACTTGTAAAGTAAGTGTTGTTCCAACTTATATACTCTTTAATTATTTTATTTTCAATCAATGTGGGACTTGAAGTTTTTTTAAAATATTAAACTTATAATTTTAAATATTTTAAGGAAATCTGCAGGAAAAGTTACCTGCAAAATTTTTCTCCCATTTAGTAAACATTACTTGCAAATTTATTTTTGCAAGAAAATTTGCAAGAAACAAAATAAAATTCTTACAGTATTTTCTGCAAATTTTTACCATGAAAAATATTTCTATGATTATTAAAATTTCTGCGAATATTTTTTTGCAGAAAAATTCGCAAGAAATTTCTGCGAATATTTTTTTACAGGAAAATTTGCAAGAAAATGGCACTTTTCTAGTAGTGGTAGATTTGCTAACAACATTTTATCAAAGATATTAAAAAAAATTCAAATTTAAGAGAAAAAAAAGAAATTTTAATTTTTAAGATTGAGATATTTAATAGACTAAAAATATATTTAAGTCATTGTATAATCAATTTAGCTGTTGAAATGTTAATATTATATCCTGAATCTCAACTTCTGTATAATATTATTAGATAGATAACTACATTGTTGTTTAATATTATTAGATAGTAAGATAGACAACACTGCATTGTTGGGCCAGCTCAACTCTAATTTAAATTGGGCCTCAAATAATTTCATGTAGCCCCAAAGCAATTGTCACATGTTCTTAATCGTAATATTTATCTGTCCAAAACCGAAAACTATGTAAAGTACTATGTGGGTTTAATAGTTAGAGTTGGATTAATAAGTACAAAGTGTTAAATTTAAACATCATTGTTGTTGTTTTAATTCTTAGGTATAAAAAAAAAACTTAAAAAATATCTTTTCAACTATATATGGTCAACTGGAAAGTTTTAGAATTGAACAAGCTGAAACTTTCCCCTTTGTTTTCATTTACAAAGACAAAATAAAAATCTTGAGACTTCTCCTCTTGAGTTTCACAGCAATTAACCACCTTTTGCCACATCCTTGACTTCAATGTTTTGAAAATGATCTATTTCACTGTACAAACATTCTATTTGTTATTACTAATATTAAGCTAGAAAGTAGAAGCTAGACCACTGCCCAATCACTTGAAGTACCATTGATCATGTTCACCAATCTTTGGCACTTAGACCCATAATTGCATGCATGGTTATACTTTGTTAGTAAGCTATGATGTTGATAGTCTAGCTCGGAAAGTTACAATAAAGAGTAGTTAAGATGGTGACTTTTTTTTATATGATATCCTTATCGGAAAGACAAAAGACTCAGAAGCTTATAATGTTTATCGTGATTTTTTTAAATTAGTTGATAAAATATTTTTCTATATTAACAATATAAAAAAATTAAATTATTATAATTTACATTTCAAAAGTATGTAGTAGAAGAAAAGAGATTTGATTATTGTGCTAATTATTTTTAATATTTAATTTCAAGATACCCATGCGTTGCATTTAGTGAATAATTAGAAAGCATTTTAGTTAGTTTTATTTGCATTAACAGTTATTTTGGTCTTTAATTTTTATTCATTTCATTGCATATTTTCTTTTTTTTATCAAAATTGTTATGTCTCGAGTGTTTTTCTTTTAATGTGTGTGTTTGCAGTGAAATTCGTTCATGAATTCTTTTTATTTAAATTAGCAAAGTTTTCAATTTAGATATGCAAGAAATATGAATTTTTGTATTATAGAATGTTCAGGCACTTCGCAACTACATCAATTAAAGCTAGTCAAAGGAACTAGGTGAAACTATAATAAAATACACTTTAGACAATACATATTCCTAACATACAATGAATTTTCAGGAATAAAATTTCGTAAGTATGATGTTGCGACCCTGTGCATGAATAAGGTTTGTTTATTTATAGAAACGCGAGATGGTGTTTACTTTGCATGATTTTTGTGTGGCGCATAACCGCCTCGCACTATGCGTCGTGT